TTTTTGCATTACAATTCTTAATACACCTTTATACCACAATTTATCATATCTCTATTTGTATATAAGGTATATTGACACTAAAATTCACATCTTCATACATGTATTTTGTATAATGTTCTAATTTAAAAATGAGATTAGGTTCTTATACTCTCCATGTAATTAAAATGACTTAAAAACGAAAAGTAGTGATCTTCGCTGCTCTCAAGTCATTCTGTGATACGTTAAACTGGATTTTGAGTTTTCAAAGTATCATTAGTTAATATTGAAGTTAGGATTTTCTTAACTCTAATATATTAAGTATATTCTCTTTTTTTCCAGCTAAAATGAAGCTTGCTTATACTGTTTGAATTTATTGTGCTTTAGACTTAACTCTGGGGTTAAGAGGCATGTACTTCTGAGCTGCCAGAACACAGACGTGCATCACAAAGCATTTTCTCATTGTTTTCCTAGGCTTTTTGAAAGGGGTTTGTGGGCCATAGACATGAGTGGCTTTGGAGAGACACTGAAGGGGATCAGGGGTTCTTCCTGCTTTGCTGTCATGGGAAGTCTTTCTTAGGAAGCAGTTTCAACATAGACAGTGTTAAGAATTCAGTTATTTGCTTATTTTTCAACCTTATTTTATAGTGTCTTCTCTTTAAAATTTATAATTGTAGACCATTCTATCGTGATTTGTTTCTGTTTTAATCATTTGTTATGATTTTATTTTAAAACTCTATTTTTAGCTTTGTATTAATTTTATTCTTCATATTTTAGTTTTGCTCAACTGAACAAATATTTATAGAGTGCCTAACATATGGTAGAAAATGCACAAGGCAGTGGAGAGAGAGAGAGAGAGAGAGAGAGAGAGAGAGAGAGAGAGAGAGAAATATAAGGCAATATTGCTGCCCTTGAGACTCTGCCACTTTGCAGGGTAGAGAGAAACAGTTTCAATGTGATAAGTTTGGTACAGTTCAAAAGATATAGTAAGGGACTGCAAAGAGAAGTGTAGAGCAGAACAGCAGCTTTCAATGATAATTGTTCATGAGGATTACCTGAGGCACTTTCAAAAAATATCGAGAGTCTTAGCCCACCTTCAGGGAGTTTGATTCAAATAGTCTGGATCAGGTGTGTTATTTTGTAAAAACTCTCCTACCACTCTCCACCTGTACTTACTGTCCTGTTAATTCTAAACCACTTAGTTTCTCTGACTTGCTGAACTTGACATACTTCATTCTGCAAGCTGTTACTGTTCTTGGAATTCATCCTTCCACCCTCATTCCCATCTCCAGCTCTCTAGTCTCCACTCAGGTGTTACTTCCCCTGAGAGGTCTGCCCACATCCTCACAGGCAGTTGTAAGGGTTCTTGCTTCTGTGTTTCTACCCACTGCATGGATGATATCTTCAGTGGAACTATTACCCAGAATGGGTTAAGGTGCTTTGCTTGTGGGGCTTCAAGCTCTTTGGGCAGGGACTTACATATGGGTAGAAGAATGAGCTGAATAAATAAACTCCATGTCTAGTCCTAGCTTTTAAGAGAGTTGCAATCTAGTGGACTTTTTAAAAAACGGATATTGTTGTTATTTTGGAGATTGTACATTGATGCTGAAGTTTAGGGTGAAATCTACTTGAATTTGACTAGCTGTGTTCATATTTCATAATCTGCCTAATTTTAAGCAATAAACAAGCAAGTCAGAATTGGAAGATATAATTGCCAAAAGTAATAATTTTTTCTTTTTCTTTTTTGCAGTACTGGGGATTGAACCCAGGGGGCACTTTGCCACTGATCTACATTCCCAGCCATTTTTTGAGACTGGGTCTCACTAAATTGCTAAGGCTAGCCTCAAATTTGTGATCCTCTTCCCTCAGCCTCCAGATTTGCTAGGATTACAGGCATGCACTGCTGTTCACAAAAGGTGATACTTTAAAATATCCAGTTTCAGTTTTGTTTCCTCTCCAGTGACTCATTACAAAGTTTTCTTCTGGTTATTCTTCCTAAACCAATTGGGTTTCAGGAACAATTCCCCTGACAACATGAGAAAACCTGGCAAATCCAGGTTTCTGCAGAAGTACTTGGTTATTCTCCAATGCTAGTAATTACCCATCTTTTTGATTATTTTAGTTTTTTTATATAATAGCAGTCACACAAGCCAAAAATTCAGCTACTCAGGGAGCCTGATTACCTGAAGATGCTGTGGTCTGGGAACAGGTAGACGCAAAGACAGAAAGTGAAGATAACAACAGAAAGAAAATGGACTTGATATATTAAATTCAGTTACAGAAAAATAGCCTAGTGGTAGAATCTCCATTTGCAGATGTCAAATAACTTTTTGGTTATGGTCAGGTAAGTAATAATGTCAAGAAGAAGAAACAGATCATACTAGGGAGTACATATTGTGGAAAAAGTAAATAACTGACTTTGACTTTTAACCTGTATTAAAAATGTGTCTTGGTTTCAAGGGTGATATCAAGGCTATAGGGAAACTTGAGGTCAGCAAATGTGACATCTTCAGCATAAACAGGGCATTTGGGAGTTCCAGAAATGCTTTAGTAAAGAATTTACTCATTTTATATCATTAACCATTTCAACAGGAATGAAAGGAAATTCATAACCTACAGAAGTTCAAAGTTAGGACTACTTGCTTTGTTTTATTTCTGTCTTTTCAGAAAAGTTGAAAAAGGAGAAGTTCACTACAGTTTAGTACCTTTACTGGAACTAAAACCAAATGATACACTCAGAATTTAGAGAAGGATTGAGTGGTAAGATCTTTTTTCAGACACCCCATCCCACCCCACCTGCCTTTCCTGAATGCCTATTTACAGATCCACAGGATCATTTTAAACTGTGACATAAAAAATTGTTATAATGGTATTATTGGGGGGGAATAATCATTCTTTTATGACCTTTGTTTGTTGGGAACTTAGATGTTTTTATTCTTCAGACTAATTTTGGTCACCCCGATGCAAAGTAAATGTAAATGAACTTCAGGAAAAATAATAAATTCAGGGACATGGAAATTAGACTTAAGAGGCAGCGTAGCTGAATTGGTTACTTAATTCAAGTACAGTAAAGATTTACTGAGAGAGTCCCTGATAATATTTTTATTTTGAAGCAAGTTAATGAAGTAAGTGGACACAGGTTTAAAACAAAGAACCAGAAAGTCCATCTGGGAGCAGGGAAGAATATTTGGACTATCAGAATTATAAAAAGCATAGGAATGGCCAAAAAAAGAGAGATGCTGAGTTTTCAAGTAGTGTGGCTGAAATAATTTGGATATGCCTCTGATATGAACCAGATTGGAAGTTTTTTTCATACATTTCATTCCTGGTAGGGTATTCATTTTATCCATATTCTATAAATCTGAGCTTTAAAATGCATAAGAATCTCCTCTGGGAGGCTGACCAAATCCATGTAAATTTGTAAAACAAGGGATGGTACTTAGAGAACAAATATTAAATAATTATAATTTGTAACTTCAATGGCCTTTAGTTAAGAAGAGAGAAGGAAAGAAAATAATAGTCAAGGAAAGCCAAGTGTGTTTGCCTCAGCCTCCCCCCTTTTATGGAGGGTGAGGTGCTGGGGTGGAAGCCAGGGCCTTGTGCATGTTCAGGGGTCTACCAATGAGCTACAACCCCAGGCTCCTTCTTAAAGCTTCAAACATCTCCTTATTCTAGAATCCTCATTAAATTTGTGACTGAATGTGCATTTATCAGTACTATGCATATTTTCTTGTAGGATTGGGGATTTTTGTTTATTTTCAGGTGAAAATTCTCCAGTGAAATGCAGTGTTTCATTGTCTCCAAAAGGCCAGTTCCCTATGTATCATCTCAATATATCCAGGATCTACTTTTCACTGCCACTACCTCTGCCACCACAGTCTGAGTAACATCATCTCTTGTATCATTGCTTGCTCAAGATTAAAAAAAAAGATGTGTTTTTAGCCTATCTTCCTGTTGCTATCTTTGAAACTTTGAAGTGTATTCACAATGTAGTAGTCAGACTAATCCCTTAATGTGAGGTAGACTTTTTTGTTTCTTTGTTCAAAATCCAGTTGTTGGGTAATTTTTCAGAGTAATAACAAAAGCCCATGTGAAGACCTATAACGACCTATATGGTCTGTGTTCCCCTGGCTTCTCAACCCTATCCACACTCCTTCCTCACATACTCTGGCCCAGCCTCTTTAATCTCTTTATGGTTCTTTGAACTTGGCCTGTGAGCTCCCATCTCAGGGCTTTGCTCTTGCTATTGGTTGTCTCTGCCTAAAGTGCTCTTTCCCCAAACACTTTCATGCTTTTTAAATTCAATTGAATACATTAACTTTTATACATTAATAGAAACTATTTCATCCCAATCATTTGTGAACTCAAATCTTTTTGATCACTTAGTATTTTCAAGACATTATATGGGAAACTATGGAAATAAAAACTTGAAGGGATGATGATTTTATTATTGATCAGTTTATAATCATATGGGAAGAACGGATACATGACCAACAAGTAAGGTAAGTAAGTTTGGGTGCATAAAAGGGTCATGAGGAAGGTGTGACAGATGAGTTGCCATTCAATTTGAGTATTAAAGCATGAGTGACATCTTCAAAAGTGTAAATTAGAGAAATATAATTTCTGGTTTGAGCAACAAAATCAGTCATAGAATTCTACAAATCTCTGTCATGTAATAGTTTTTGTCTTTCTGGAATACAAAATTGGCTATTACTCCTTCAGGGAGAGAATGGTTAGCATTGATCATACACCATCACAGTGAGTTAATGTCAGTGCTCTATGTGGTTTTATCAGGTGCCACAGGTGTACCAGTCCACTAGACTGCACATATTCCTGGTGTTAGCAAGCCCTGATGAAGCACATTTACTGACATATGTAACAACAGCATTTAGTGGTCAACACAATATTAGATTTTTGTGAGATGCTCAGGTAATATTTGGCTCCAATAATTCATACACTTTTCCATAGAGGAAAATAATATAATACTAATAATTTGAATTTTCTCATTTTTTCCTTTAGGAAACATGAAAGTAAATCTACCACATGAGCCTGTGAATAGACCAAACCACTCTGTAGTGTCTGAATTTTTGTTCCTGGGACTCTCCAATTCCTGGGAGATCCAGATTTTTCTTTTTTGCTTTTCCTGTCTCTTCTATATGTCCAGTTTGACAGGAAACCTCCTCATAGTTGTCACTGTGACCTCTGACCCTTACTTGCATTCCCCTATGTATTTTTTGCTGGCCAACCTTTCTGTCATTGATCTGATATTTTGCTCTATTGCGGCACCCAAGATGATCTGTGATCTCTTCAGAAAGCAGAAGGTCATCTCCTTTGGGGGCTGTATAGCTCAGATCTTCTTTAGTCATGCTGTTGGGGGCACTGAGATGGTGCTGCTCATAGCCATGGCCTTTGACAGATATGTGGCCATATGCAAGCCTCTGCACTACCTGACCATCATGAGCCCACGAATGTGCATTTTTATTTTAGTGGGTGCCTGGACCACTGGTCTCATTCACTCATCAACCCAGTTGGCTTTTGTTGTTAACTTGCCCTTCTGTGGCCCCAATGTACTGGACAGCTTTTACTGTGACATACCTCGGCTCATCAAACTCGCCTGCACAGACACCCATAAACTGGAGTCCATGGTCACTGCTAACAGTGGGTTCATTTCCTTGGGGGCGTTCTTCCTGCTCATCCTCTCTTACATCTTCCTCTTGGCTGCTCTTCAGAAACACTCCTCAGGAGGTTCATCCAAGGCTCTTTCCACTCTATCAGCTCATATTACGGTGGTGGTTTTATTCTTTGGTCCACTGATATTTTTCTATGTGTGCCCCACTCCTTCAACACCTCTGGACAAATTTCTAGCCATATTTGATGCAGTTTTGACTCCATTTCTAAATCCAGTCATCTATACATTCAGGAACAGAGAGATGAAGGCAGCAATGAGGAGAGTGTTTAGTCTGCTCCTGGGTGTTAGAAAAACCACTTAAATGGCTTGATTGGAATAAAATTTCCAAGTGACTGTTGAAAGTTTATAATAGGCAATCTTCTTGAAGAAGAGTCTTTATTCTAGGCATTATTGGAGTGTTCACAAGCATTCATCAACTATCTGTTGGGTCTATTTTATTCCCATGGAAGTATGGGTGCCATTCCTCTTGAAGAAAAAGACGGATTTTATATACAGCATATAAATAAAATATTATATTATATATCAAGGATTATATTTAATCCCTAAAGAACTGTGCCAATAATAGCTTTCACATATATTAGTGGTATAAATGAGTTTATTTCTCAGGAATATGAAGTACTGTTTTCTATTGTCCTGCCATATCATTGGTATACTTTTAACACCAGGCTTTATTATCTCGTATCTTACATCTCCTTTTCACTTGTTCTGCTCTATTGTCTTTTAGTTATGAGCAAACTGTAGCTGTCACCTTTAGGATTTGTGATGACTTACACATTATAATACACAAATCCTGCTTCCACCCTTTGTTCTATATATTGAAGAGTGTGATCTATTTTATCCTTACTCCAATAGATCAGGTGTTGGCAAATGCTCTGCAAAGTATTTGATTGTTAGTAGTTTTGACTTTTGTGGTCTACGTAACCTGTTTGACTCAATCAATTTTGTTGTTGTAATGTGGAAATATACACACACAACTTAAAATTAATGGCTGAAGTCCAATAAAACTCTTCATAAAAACAGCAACAGACCAGATTCAACCCAAAGGTTATGGTCTATCAACTCCTGAAGTAGATTGTGGCCAATATGTAGGTTTACTCACTCTCCCAAATATCACAGTCTTGATCTCAGCAAGAGTCTAAAATGAAAGGCAGTGTTTTATCATACAAAATTAGCAGTTAAAATACAGAGTTTTTGGTCATTATAATATCAAATAAACTTGTTTTAAGTAACTTAACCTCTCTGAAATTAAAGTCTTTAAATGTGGCAATAGAACTCACAGTTTTATGATGATGATGAACTCAGTGGTTTTTGAAAAGGTTTTATCAACTTAAAAATTAGTTTGTCTTCCTTCCCTGGGCTGTAATTACTTGCTTGGAGTCCATCAACCTGGAATTAAAGTTCATTTTATCTTCTAACTTATGTATCACACATTAACTTTATCTTCTAGCTTTATACTCTTTCTGTCTCACACATACATGTGATATATCTCCATGATCTTGGCTTTCATTTCATTCTGGCATACACTTTCATTGTTTTGTGTCACCTGTAGAATTGAAGATTTAATATTTCCTTTCTTATTTAGTTCATTGGTAAGAATAATAAGGTTAATATTTACAGAGAATATATCAAACATCAGTATTGCTTTTAATTTCATCTGTAAACTCATTTAATTTTCACCACAGTCTTTGAGATAAATACTATCATCATCCTCATTTTATAGATTCATAGATCGAAGCACAGAAAGGCCAAATAACTTGTCAAAGATTAGTAAGTGGTAAATTTGTATTTGAACCCAGGCAGTCTGGTTCCAGAGCCTGGAATCCTAGTCATTATGTGATTTTTCCCCCATAAAATCGGTTTAATATTCATGCTGGTGAGCCTAAGGTTACATTTATTCTAGGGCCAATTTGTCTATATACCCCTTTCCCCCTATATTTATGTCAATACCTTGTTCATGGTAAAATATACTGAATAAATTATTTTATGGGCACACTGTAGAATTATGTGCATACAATATAGCTATTATAGAATAATATTTAATAACATGGAGAGTTGCTAAAGATAGCTTGATAAGAGAAAAAGATAGTAATAAAAGATTTAAAATTGTTCTGATTTTAATACAATGTATGGATATAAACTAAAATGTTAATAGTAACATTTCTCCAGTGGGAAGAATATAGATGGCTTTTACTACCTTATTTTTGTTTTGCTGCCTCTGGTTTTGGGTTCATATAAGAAAATCATTGCCCAGATCAACGTCATGGAGATTTTTTCCTATGTTTTCTTCTAATAGTTTTAAAGTTTTGTGCCTTACATTTAAATCTTTAATGAATTTTGAGTTTATTTGTTGTATACAATATGAGAGTCTGATTTCATTTTCTGCTTATGGCTATCTGGTTGTCCTAACACCATGTACAAAAGAAAATGTCCTTTCTACATTGTTTGTTCTTGGCAACTTTGTCAATAATCAATTGATACCAAATATATGGCATTATTTCTGGGCTTTCTATTCTGTTCTCCTTGCCCCATGAGTTTGGTTTTTATGCCAGTAATATGTTAGTTGCTATAGATGTATAGTAGATTTTGATGTTAGGAAGTATGATGCATTCAACTTTGTTCTTTTTTCTCAACACTGCTTTGGCTATTTAAAGTCTTTTGTTGTACATATAGATTTCATGTGAAAAATGTCATTGAAATTTTGATAGAGATGGCATTGAATCTTTATATTACTTTGGGTAGTATGCACATTTGGAGTATTAATTTTTCTAATTCATGAACATGGGATATCTTTACATTTATTTTTGTCATCTACATTTTTTTTGTTTGAGTGATTTTTTTAAGTTTGATATTGTTCTTAGTTGACATATAATAATTGTTCATATTTATGGGATAGAATGTGAAGTTTTGATAATTATATACATTATCATTAAATTTGATGTTATGATTAAAGCATTGTAGTTAATATATATATATATATATATATATATATATATATATATATATATAACCTCAAATGTTTATCATTTCTTTGTGGTTAAAACATTCCAAAAATATTCTAGATATTTTGAAATATGCACTACAATATTGTTATCTATAATGATCCTACTGTACTAATGGACAAATACTATTCCATTGTGCATGAATACTAAATTTCATTATCCATTTATCCACCGATGGAAACAAAAGTTGATTCTTTATCTTCACTCTTGTGAATAGTGCTGCAGTAAACTTGGGAGGCCAGATATCTTTTCAACATAGTGATTTTGTATTATTTGGATAATATCCTGTAGTAGAATTGCTGGATCATATGTTAGTTTTATTTTTAATTTTTTTGAGGAAACTTTATACTGTTTTCCATAATGGCTATACCAAGTTATGTTTCCAACAATAGCATGTGAAAATTTTCATTTTTATAGAACCATGTCAGCATTATTTTTTAGTCTTTTTGATAATAGTCATTCTAATTGGGGTGAAGTGGTATCTCACTCTAGTTTTGATTTTTTGTTTCCCTGATGAATACTTGCTTTGAGCATTTTTCCTAATTGTTGGCTGTTTGTATGTCTTATTTTGAGAAATGTCTATTTAAGTACTTTGCCCATTTTAAATTCAGATTATTTAGTTTTTTTTCTATTTAGTTATTTGAGTTCTACATATATCCTGAATATTAACCTCTTTTCAAATGCAAAATTTACAAATATTTTCTCCAATTTTGTATGTTGTCTCCTCTGTTTTTTTCTTCTTGTACATCTTTTTGTTTATTGAAATTCCATTTGTTTTTATAATTTCTGTCATTAATGTTTGTTTAACAATTTTTTTTTGACAAAATCTTCTTTCTATTTACTAATTTGAACATTCTTACTCTAATCTGCTTTCATTCCATGTTTGTGTTTCCATTATTATAAGTCTTTTATATTAACATATGCTTGCACCTCTGAACTTCTGTTTTGACTTTTGAAAACATAAGGAGGTTATTTGATGAAGAATGTTGATATTTCTAACTTTTAAACATATATCTGATAAGGGGTTAATATCTAAAACATACAAGGAACTTGTACAATTCAATAGCAAAAACTCCTAGTAATCCTATATAAAAGTGAGAAAAAGATATGAAGAAGCCAGATTTATAAATCAGCATTTGGGAAGAGAAGACTGGAAGCTAGCTTGCATATTAAACTCACAAAACTTTTATTATAGTTTTTCTGTAAATACTTAAAACAAACAAACAAACTATGGATCAGAATAATAGGCTGGATTTAACAAAAAATGAGTATAAAAAGGGTAAATGAATGATCCTGAAATCAAGTGTAAAGTATTAAAGGCACAAGAACAAGAAAAGAAATAATGGAACACCTTTTGTTATCAGTCAATATTTTTAGGTAGTTAGAACCTGATCCTAAGCTTAAAAGTGGTCTTGATACTCTAAATCTTTTACAACTGCCTTGGTACACATAAACCTTTTAAAAAATAGACACTCCCTTAAATGTTTTGTATATAGCCCACTGTAGACTTGATGACCCAAATCATTTTTTCTCATCTTTAGAAACCTACATGGGAACAATCAGATCAAACAGATCTAAAGCTATTGTGTGTATACATCTATTGTGTGTGCTGTACATCTATTTGGATTGTATATTGTGTTTGTGTGTTTATGCTTTATACACACACACACACACACACACACTAATATCTTTATTTTGTTATTTGCTTTATTTTTATATGGTGCTGATGATAAAACCCAGAACCTCACATGTGTGAGGCAAGCACTCAGCCACTGAGCCACAACCCCAGCCCTGTATTTATAATTTGATTCATACTAACTTCTCATGTTATGGAATTGATTTGCATTGAACACAAACTGTAAATAAAAATAAATATATGGCTGAAAGAACAACAAAAAAAGTGAGTGAAAGAACCCAATAAATATATGTTTTTAAACATGGACTAAAAATGGCCAGTGGGCATATGAAAAGGTGTTCAACAATGATAATAACTAGAGAAATACAAATTAAACCACAAATGAAATGTTACATCACACCTCTAAGACTGGCTGTTATCAAAAAGATCAGTGTTGGAAAGGTTGTGGAGAAAAGGAAACACTTGTACACTGCTGGTAGGAATGTACATGGTACAGCCATTACGGAAAACTGATGAAAGTCCTCCAAAAAATTAAAATAAGAACTACTGTTGTGGTGGTTTGGATATGAGGTATTTCCCAAAAGCTCATGTATGAAACAATGCAAGAATGTTCAGGGATGAAGTGATTAGATTATGAGAGCTGTAACCTAATCAGTGGATTGCAGA